ACCCCCCCCACACACACACTCCTGCACCTGCTAAGAATTCTGCCTGCAATGCCTTTGCGCAGTGAGCCCCTGGCAAGTGCCTCCTCTTCCTTTCAGACTTGGCTTTGGCATCAGCCCTCCCTTCCATCCGTCTCCCCACTCCACTCCCGCCATGCTGCTCTGGCACTCTGTTTGCCATCACAAGGGCAACTGTTTGGTGTTAGGTAGGAGCCTGGCTACAGAAGCCAAGGTCTAGAGGGAGTCTTCAGGATCTTAGGGCTGTTTAGGGGGAAAGCAAGCAAAGAACTAAAGAAACAATGCAAAATAGACAAAGCATCCTGGAGAAGAACAGTATGAGCATTCCAGGAAATGTAAGCACAGGGCACTTCGGGAGGATGAAAAAACCCAGGGTGGGGTGTGGGGACAGTGATGTTGTAGCTGGGAACTCATGCCTGGGAAGAATTCCCAGGGGGGACTTGGGGAACAGATAGGTGTTGTTGTGTTTTTTTTGTTTTGTTTTGTTTTTGTTTTTGAGAGGCAGAGTGGACAGTGAGAGAGAGAGACAGAGAGAAAGGTCTTCCTTTGCCGTTGGTTCACCCTCCAATGGCCGCCGAGGCGGGCGCACTGCGCTGATCCGATGGCAGGAGCCAGGTGCTTCTCCTGGTCTCCCATGAGGTGCAGGGCCCAAGCACTTGGGCCATCCTCCACTGCACTCCCGGGCCACAGCAGAGAGCTGGCCTGGAAGAGGGACAACCGGGACAGAATCCGGCGCCCCGACCGGGACTAGAACTTGGTGTGCCGGCGCCGCTAGGCAGAGGATTAGCCTACTGAGCTGCGGTGTCGGCAGGTTTTTATACAGAAGGAATAGCATTTGTAAGCTCAGAGCTGAGGCAACTCAGAGTAGGGTTGGCGAAGTTGTTTTATATTCACTAACCTCTCCTATTTGAGCAAGTCCAATATGACAGATGTGCTGTGCCTGGCTCAAGGAGCGCCCAGGGGAGTGAGACTAGAACCCAAACACTGGGGTCTCTGGAACTCTGCTTCACGTGTGTTAAATATAAGGAGGGGAAGAATCACTGTGTTCCTAAATTTGTATAGATGAAATGCATAAAGTTTGTATACCTTAAATAAAAGGTTTCTAGGTTAAAAATATTTAATAAAAAAAAATATATAAGGAGGGTATGAAGAGGTTACTCAAGTCCCTTGGGTTTTCATGAGCTTTTAGGAACTGCATAAAGAAATTAGGCAGGCAGGAGGCCATCGGCCTGAGAGTCCTTGGAAGCTGGAGATGCCCCTTATGACCTTGATTTTCACCTATTGGTGAAAAAAGAGTGTGATGGGGTGGTAGTTGAGGCGCATTAAGCCACTCCATGCATTTCTCCCTGCAGGCTGGGTGTGGAAAGCTCTCCTTTCCGGGGTCTGAGTGTCAAATCATTCGCCTGCAAACAAGCCCAAAGGAATGGAATATACAAATAGCCAGTGTCCAGACTATGCATAAAAATGGAACTCAGAAACTGCACCCAGCCCCTGCAGCCAGCTAGGTAGCAACAGTAACCAAGCCAGCAAGTTCACCTAGTGTCTCTAGCAACTAATCCAGAAAGCCAAAGAGCTCCTGTAGCCTTGGGTTCAAAACAGCCAGAACTGGATTAATAACTGACAGCTCTCCTAATTTTTGCATCAGCTTCCAATTTCATGCTAAGCAGAGAAAGCCAAAAATGCACGGCTAAGCAATTACCTAGGACATTGGCTTCTCGCTAGCCCGCCTGCAGCTTCCTCATGCCAAGGGCCCTAAGCCTTCCCTCTTCTCCACTGTAAGCTCTCTCACCCCTCTGCCTGCCTTTGAGCCCCTGCCAATGCCAGTGGGGACGACTGACTCCCTCACAAGGGCAAGTTCTGAATAAAGAACGTTTGCATGTTCTCCTTTGGGTGGTCTTCAGGCTAGGAGAGGGGCCCTGGAGCTCCAGATGGTCCATTTATTTTATTTTAGTCTTGGATTCATTTTCCTTTTCTCAGAACATTAGACAGTGTTTTGTTTTGTTTTCCCATCTGTGGGCACTGACCAGGATTGGGCATGTCTGTGTTAAGAGAGTACTGTTTTCTATGAGATCTGAGGTTACACTTGGATTTTCAATGCTGCCATTCGTCCTGGAACAGCCAGCAAAGTCCCTCAGCCTCTTGAATGAGACTGAGAAGTCTTCTGCTTAAATGCTGGGACCAGATGCCACCATCCTCAGGATTCACATCTAGTGGTGCACCTCTCAGTTCTTTCTCTCTACCCCTAGTCAAACACAAATCCACACTAAGGTATGCAGAGATGTTATCTGAAGAGTGTTGTGGTAGGCCAGGGGCCTAGTGCAATAGGGAGAACATTCCAATCCCCAGACCTGTAAGCGCTGGGAAGTGGCCTTGGCGAGGTCACAGTGGGCTCTTCTGTGTTCCCATGCTGGCTTGGGGGGAAGGTGGGTCAGAGTTCAGGGCCTGTGGGGAGGGGAAAGGCTTAACTAAAGTTGAGTGAAGTCAAATTAGCAGATGTTTTTTCCGGATTGTCTAGGAGAGGTGCAGATCATCTATGAGACAAAGAATGGGAACTTAGAAAGTCTGTGCCTGGCCTTGGCCTAGGAAAACAAGGAGGCACCACAAGTCTTCTGGGAGTCATTCAGGGAAGCTGGTTCTTTGCTGTAAGACTCTACCCTAATACAGAGCGTGCAGGTATTTTAACCACTGCTGTTTTCCAACTCCAGGAGCACAGGTTCAGGTTCAACATTGTCGCCCCTCTGGCAGTGCCCTCCGTCCATCTCCCAATCCTCACCCTAACAGCGAGTTTCTCGGTTACAGGGTTTTGAAGCGGTGCTTCAGCAACCCCCAACTCATGAGGGCTCAAGGAACAGGAGCAGCTGGGGTTCGTGGGCTCCTGAGGACACTGTCGTACTGAGGACATGGTGCTCCTGATAGCACTTGTTCCTCCCGACAATCTGATTATTTTACAGATGAAGAAACTGAGGTACAAGAAGGGTCAACAGCATCCCTAGCATCACATTGATAATGGCTTAGTTTCCTAGACCTGTCAGGAAAAATTCGACAAACAGAAATTCGCTGAATCAGTTCTGGAGACCAGATTTGCAAAGTCAAGGTGTCTCCCTAAACGCTCCAGGGAAGGATCCTTCCTCACCTTGTCTGAACTTCTGGAGGCTGTCGGCAGCCCTTGGTAGTCCCTGACTCGTAGACACATCGCCCAGAAGTCTCTTGCTGTTGTCACGTGGCATTCTCCTAGTGTCTCTCTGTGTCCGAGTTTGCAAGGACCCAGGGTGTTGAATGAGGCTCATCCCAGTCCATTATGACCTCATCACAACTTGATCACATCAGTAAGGCCCAATTTCCAAATGAGGTTGCATTTGCAGGTACTGGAAGTTAGGACTTGAACATAATCTTCTTAAGGGACACAATTCCCCACCGCATCCCACCCCACCCCCACACAACTAGAAAGTGGTCAACCTGGGGTTCTGAATACCCCCAGCCATCTGTAGCGAGACGTGTCCACGTGCCAGGGACCAGTAAAGTAACCCACTGGGAGTGTGCTAAGAAGATATTGGAATATATATTTATTGTGAAATTTCCTTTTAAGAATGTCTAGGGAGCAGGTGTTCAGCATACCAATTAAGATGCCCACATCCCACACTGGAGTATCTGGGTTCAGTTCCCAGCTCTGTCTCTTAACTGCAGGATTTTTGCCAATAAAGACCCTTGGAGGCAATGGTAGTGGCTCAAGTAATTGGGTTTCTGCCACCCATGTGGGAGACTTGGAAGGAGTTCCCCACCCCTGGGTTCAACCCTGAGTGGCTGCAGGAATTTGGGGAGTGAGCCATTGTGTGGGAGTTCATTGTGTGTGTTTGTGTGTCAAATGAGCAAAAAATTTAAAATTTTTCTAATTGTGTTTTTTTTTTAAAGATTTATTTATTTATTTAAGAGGCAGAGGCAGAGGCAGAGAGAGAGGTCTTCCATCCACTGGTTCACTCTCCAGATGACCACAACAGCCGGAGCTACACCAATCCAAAACCAGGAGCCAGGAGCTTCTTCTGGGTTTCCCATGCTGGTTCTGGGGCCCAAGGGCTTGGGCCATCTTCCACTGCTTTCCCACACCACAGCACTGGCCCTGAACTATTGCTTTTCAAAAGAGGAAAGCTACTGCAGACCCGAAGCCAGCTCATGATTCCACGTCTGCTCTGACCACGTCATTTCTACAAGTTCCCTTTTCTGTATAATATGATCCTGAGATCAGCCATCCTTTTCTCTGACACATACCTGCCCTGGTCCAGGAATTGTTTTGGAATCCTTAAGGGAGGGAGCCAGATATGCCCACAGGTAAAGAGATGTCATAACATTGATTATGTCCACTTAAAAAATCCATGTATTGGGCCGGTGCTGTGGCATAACAGGTAAAGCCACTGCCTACAGTGCTATCATCCCATGTAGATGCCGGTTCGAGTCCTGGCTGCTCCACTTCCAATCCAGCTCTCTGCTATGGCCTGGGAAAGCAGTAGAAGATAGCCCAAGTCCTTGCCCCTGCACCTGCATGGGAGACCCAGAAGAAACTCTTGGGTCCTGGCTTTGGATCGGTGTAGCTCCAGCCATTGTGGCCATCTGGGGAGTAACCCAGAGGATGGAAGACTCCTTCTCTCTCTCTCTCTTTATCTCTCTCTCTCTCTCCCTCTGACTTTCAAATAAAAAGTAAATCTTTAAAAATATATATAAATTTGAAGAGCTATTCAGGTGTCCATAAATTGGTCTGAAGAAGGAAAGATAGGATAATGTTAAATAAGTCATGGTGTTTTCCATAGTTAAGGATGTTTTTGTTACTTGGTTAGTTAACCCTTCGAACACTTGACATAAGGGTCTTGGTTGTGGGAGAGCTGATCCCCTTCATGGGTTATTTGAGCTTCTGTGTGGGTGTAAGTATGTGCTAGTTATAATTTATTCCACCTGTGTCTGTCAGTTCCTTTCCCCTTGCCTCCTCCTGTGACATTCTGGCTCATGTGTCTTCATAAAGCTCTAAGCCAGTTATTAATAACAGCCCAGTGAACCTCCTGATCCACCAAGAGCATATGGTGTTTTTCACGAGAGAGAGAGCGATCATTCCCTTGACTTTGGACTTCTCTGATTGAACTCCTGAACTGTAAGTGTTGGTTTTTTTTTTTTAATTGCATTTTTAAATGTTGATGTAGGAGGAATGTTTAATGTGGCTCTTGTTTGCTTCTGGTAGAAGGAGAATATAGTAGGCTAAAACTTGCTAAGACTCACAAAGCCTATTTTCCTTCCCTGCATTTCAACATCGCTGCTGATTTTATAAGGCTGATTATAAGAGAGATTAATGAATCAGAATCCCACTTCTTTCTTTTTGGCTAAATAAAGGCAGGAGGAAAGCAGGAGATTAATAATACTGTATATAAATTACTAGACCAAGCCCTGGGGCTGCAGCTGGATACTCCCATGTCTGTTTCCTCTCCAGATAGAATTCCAGTGACTGAAGGGAGAATTTTCACATATGGAAAATACATTCAGGGAGGAGTTGGATAGGAGACCTGGGCCCCTGTTATTCTTCCATGTTCCAGGTTTAGGTCCAAGAGGGCACTGCCTCGTTGCATGGATCCATTGCTTCCTTGTCCCTTAGCCAAAGCCTTTGTCTGTGCAACCTTCTTTGTAATGCTTGCTTCTGAGAGTCCTGCAAAGTAGGTCACTGTGTTTCTTGCCTGGAAATGGAGGACCCTAAAGCCCAGAGACACTGATGCCCAGCTTGGTCCTTGTGAGCACAGCTGAAACCTGACTCCCCAGTCCTTCCGGGCCACAGACTAGCATGGTTTTGGTTAAATATGCCCAAGTTCTGAACATACACACCAGGCTAATAATAGTGCATTGGAAGGAGGCAGATGTGGGCCTGTTATGGAGCCGTGGCTTGGGCTACTTGTAAGTTTTGTAGCTGGAAGTGAGTACTTGGACCCTGTGAGCCTCAGTCTCCTTATTTGTGAAATGAGGCTCATAATCTGTTTTACAGGCTGGTGGAGTTTATTCATGATACATGTATGTGGCCAAATAACAGTGATGGTTGTCTTAACGTTATTTAGAAAGCCTCTCATTTGAAACTTTCCTGAATCTTCCTAATATCTCAGTTGTTTCAAGTTCAAACCCAGAGTCTCCAGATGTGTCTTTGGCAAGACACATTGAAACATAGAGAGAATATTGGACTTTTGGTGCTTTTTATAACTTCAAGTTTAGGATGGTGTTGGCCATGTGAATGCCGAGGATGGGTGGAATGGAAGATGGTAATTGTTAGCGATTTGAGACATTGAAGGCACAACTAAGATGAACGATGACGAAAAACAAAAAGTTATTTCAAACATAAGCTCTTACTTTCCCAAGCTCACCTGTTCTGTTATAATCAGAAATCTAAAATTTTTCTTTTGCTTATATGTTTCTGTGGTTCCAAAGGACTGATTTTCCCTCTTGCTCCAATCAGTTCTGTTCTATCTGAGTAGGACAGAGGGGAGCACTGTCTCACACACCACCTGCTTCCCCGAGTGCTACCCTGAAACTTAGGTGATGGGGATTTTTGTTTTTCTCTGCAAGCTTGCTTTCTGGAAATATGTATTTAACTCCTACTATGTGTGCAAGACACAGTGCTGCGTTAGCATGGGGCTCAAATGCTCTTGATAAAGGAGAAAGAAGGCATTTCATGGGTAACTCTGGATTGTGCATGACTTGGGCCCCTCTGTGAGCATCACCCTCTAAGTAATGACCTTGTGAGGCACAGACCAACAACACCTGTACCAAAAAAATGATTGCACATCCACTCCGTTCCAAGTCCTGTGCTCAATGCTGGAGGAATCGCTTCTGCTTTAAAGGAAGTCATAGTCTTTTACTTAGACTAAGAAATTCTGTTCTCCAACAGAACCATCTGCTTTCTCAGCTAAACTCAACTCCACATGACATCTACCTGGTTTCAGAAACCGTATCTTCCCCTAAAAGGCATGAAAAATTGCCACCAGAATTTCTATGGAGGAGTGTGTGTTGTAAGCCAAGTAGGCAGTTTCAAGAGTTTAGCCAAATGCTTTGGAGAACTCAGACAAGCCCAGAAATTCCCCATGCTCTCCATTTCCCAGCCCTACAGTCGGGGTGACACTTGTTTGAGTATCTGAGTTTTGCAGAGAAAGAAACACTAACAAACCCCTCGGTCCTCTTCCTGTTTCCGCATGGCCCTTGAAGGACAAATATCAGATGGGGCTCCCAAGGAAGCCATGCACAGCTGGTCCCCAGCCAGGGCGCTGAGTGTTTCAGCTGGCCTTGTAAGAGTGCCCTGCAGCTGTGGGTCATGGAGAGGGCTGGGAAACTTGGCAGGGAGAAGGTTGGTAACATTTTGACTGTTTTGGTTCCAGGATATTTCTTAACATTCTGTGTCCATCATGAAGTCACCCATGTCTTCTCAGGAGCAATGCATGATCTATTTGCAGCAGGAATGTGGCAGCCTCCGGAAGTCCATGTAGCCCAAAAGAGGACACTTTTGTTCATGTGTAGAAAAACAGTTCATTGTAGGGCCAGAAGACTGACTTAAAACATGTGAGGCATCGCCATAGATGGCCTGGGAAAGTCTACACTGGACATATGTTGACATGGAAAGAGTGCATGAGAGGTACAGGTAATGAGAAGGGAAATGCAAGTGCTTCCTGACAGGTCTGACCCCCGCCCCCCACCCCAGAGCCTGCGGTGATCCTGTGGACCCTCATGAGTGCTGCCTGGCCAGCAGTGCCCTGCGGCCCGTGTGTCTGCATGTCCACCTCAGCTTTCCAAGGCCTTCCGTCTCCTAAGAACTGCGTGCTGCCTCTCATCCTTGTGAGCCACTCCATCTCTTGTCACCATAGTTGGGTTACAGGGAAGTGACAGTCTCTCTGCTTCTTCTGCTTCATCTAATTAGCCGCTCTTTAGGGCGTGGCAGGCAGCATGCTGGGCTCATGGCCTGCTTTTCCTTTAAATATTAATTTGTTTGTTCTTTTATTTAAATGTGAGGTAGAGAGAGACCTACCTTTGGTCTGGTTGGGCCAGACCAAAGCTGGAACGCAGTCTGGGTCTCCCGCTTGAGTGGCAGGAATCGAACTACTTGAGCCACCGCCTGCTGCCTCTCAGGGTACACGCCAGCAGACAGCTGGAATTAGGAGCACCACTGGGACTGAGACCCTGGCACTCCCATGTAGGGATGCAGGCATCCCAAGTGGCATCTTATCCACTGCACTAAACATCTGCCTGTCCTGCAGTATTGAGTGGCTGAGGCTATAGGCTTTAGAGCCAAACAGATCACTGTGCTCACTTCTTGCTAAGTGTGTGACTTTGAACAACTTACTGAACCTCTCTGGGCTTTAGTCTCTCCAGCTAAGGAAACAGTGGTATGAATATTCCGCTTCAAAAGCTTGGAAGAGATTAAAATCAGTGTGTAGTGGGCACTTAACTTTAGTTAGTAACGCAGTCCTTTCAAACCTCTGCAAGACTGAAGTTATTATCTCTGTTCACCAGATGAGGTAGGATCCAAGGTTAAGTGCCTTGCTGGGATGTCAAACCAGTTCCATCTGGCTGCAAATCCTAGTCTGTCTCCTCACTCCACCTTGCTGACCAACCATCTGTGACCAAACGCAGGGTTTTGTTTTTCGTTGAAGTCCACTTTGTCAAGTTCTTTGTCATTTGACCCTGACGTGCCCAGTTTTCCAGTTCGCACTTGTCATTTTCTTTATTCCGCACTCTCTGGTCTTCATTGGCCTGAACCAAGGGAGTCTGGTGAAACACAAGATCCAACTGATCGTAGATGTCAAAAACCTGCTGCAGCTGTGATGGTACTAGCTCTGGAGAAAAAGGAAGTGGGGAACCTCAGAACAGTCTCTGTACTTCTATGGGCCTCGTTTGTCAAGAGCCCAAAAATCCTTTCTAGTGCCAACATGTCTTTACTACTTCAAACTGCTTCTCGTATCTAGAACGAGTAAAACCACTTTGCAGTTGTCTTCACCTAGCCACAAGGTAGAACGCTCAAGCTTATGACTGTTTCCATGTAATATCACATGCCCTGTATTTATGCTCATACAAGCTTCCTCTTGTACAACACTTACGTCATTAATAACAATTTCTCGGATTTGTGTCAAATTCCCTTCCTCACATGATTCAGCTTTGGGAATAATGTAGTGGGACCTAAATTCGTTCAGAAAATGCAACTTGAACTCAAATTTTAGAAAGCTACAGAAGACTCAAAATCCATTTACTGTTGAATGTGTTTAAGTGTTCAGTTAGCTCCTGAATGACTCAGATTTGAGTTTAGTGAGCACAAATGTCTATTGTGCATTAACACAGTGGCCATCCCAGTCGGACATTCCCATCCTAAAATACTAATGGTCCTGTGCCAGATTTTTGTTGATTTCCAATTATTTGACTTGGTTTCCTAATTACAAGCAAAAAAGCAAAACTGTCAACGAGACATAATTTTCATGTGATTTCTCAAGTTTCTAAAAGACAATTTTATTGAACATAAACTTTCTGGGAAAAGGGAGACCTTTACTATATGGAAACAAATTGAAAACACTTAACTTTGGGGTTTGATTTTAAAAATTATTTTCTGTGGGAAGTAGATTGTATATATATATAATTTTATATGTATCTTATGATTATCATTTGAACAACTTGAATTTCAGTCTTGCAAGAAAGCTTCTACTTGAAGGGTAAGTCTTCTATCAGGATTGAGTCAGTATTTATAGAGAACTAATGAGTGTCAGAGGCTGTGAGGCACTGGGATCCAGGGTGGATAAAGCCATCCCCACCTTCTACAAAGACAGCCCTGGTCCATGGGGTCGTGTAAACAGCCATAGGCCAGTGCGGTGACTGGCAGTACTCTCAGGTTGCACACAAGAAGGAAGTAAGTGCTGCCTGAGGAGCTCAGGGTGGGTCACAGGAGAGGGACACTGAGTCTCGGGCTTGAGGAGGAGTTTGCCAGGGTTTTGTTGCTGAAAGAAAACCTGGAAAGCATGACCATTCCGAAGGGTACAGTCGAACAGGCAACGTGCTAGATTGCAGTTAGCACCAATTGTCATCCTTCATTAAGTGTGTACTTTCTAGGCACAAGTTTTGACTCAGTTCTCACTCGACCTTTAG